ATATTAATATATATTATGTATACTAGACGACATCAATATTATATACTAGATGACATATATATGCATATATCTATATTAGTATATAGATATATATATACATATATATATTATATATATTATATATACTGATACATATATATATATATATATATATATATATATATATATATATATATGTTTGTGTAGAGCTTTCAAGTAACTTACTTATTTGAACCTTCTAATCCTTCTAATAGTCTGACCTATTCTCATTTCTGTTTCACACACACGGAACTTGGAGTTAAAGGGTTAAAATAAACTGCCCAAATCATAGAGCCATAAGTGGCTAAGCTGACTGGAAGCCTTACTCTAAAGGGGTATCATGGCAGTGCCTGCTCCTCCCCATCACTTGATGTTATGGGGATCATGGAACTAGGCAGCAGCTCCTTGCCCATTATCTGGTTTTCTTGAAGAACTCAGTAGTGGCTGGGAAGGTTCAGGGGTTCAGGTTTTTTCTCTCTGCTTTCTTTTTCTTCTCTGTTATAAAGGCACAATAATGTCTGTCACCCATGATGCAAGTTCCTTGAGAAAAGAGTCCATCCTTCTTCATGTGCATCTCCCCAGAGATTTGTACAGTGCCAGCAAATGGGTAAGGCTTTTAAAAAATATTTATTGATAATAATTGCATGAGTCCCAGGGCTGGGTTAAGAAGATGCTAAATGAAGAAGTGAGAAGGTCTTAGAAATCACTTTGTCCAGCTTCCCCCAAATGAATTTCTGAGTCTTGGAAAGGTTAAATGAGCTGTCCAAGGTCACAAAATATTGGCAGGAACAACAGAGAAGAAACCATGATTTCTGGACAAAGAAAGGTTACCAGGGTTGGATCATTCCGAGCTCTGGTGTCCAGAAGGGTTCCCTTACAACTGTTATTAACTGAATAACTGAATATTTTCTCTCTCTTGGATAGTTATCAAGTTCCCTTTGGAACTAAATGAATCAATCATTACAATTTTTAGGTGAGGGCATTTTCCAAAGCAGGTGAACCAGAATTCCTCCTCTGTCATAAGAGTTAGAGGGTTGAATATGCCCTTTGGGCTGTTTGCCTAGCTCTGCCTTCCTAAGGTTTTTCTTGGAGACAGAATGACATGGAAAACAAAATTGTTTCTTTCTCTTCACTGGACATATCTCTGAGTGTTGGATTTAAGTTGGAAGTAAGATGCACTTCCTGATCTAGAAAATATTTATGATGCATAGCAACAGGTACACCAAGTTGTTTTGCAGAGCATCTGTGGTTCTGGGAGGTTGTGGGGCTGGGTGTATGCTGTGGGCATAACTCCCTTCCTTTGGGGTAGCAGTTATGCCTACTGCTAATTTCCTGGGAAGCTCAGTGAAGCCCAGGAGTAAGCTACAAAGATCCCAGGAAGTACATCTTCATTGGTCACGTGTGTTCAGAGAGAGAGAGAGAGAGAGAAAGAGCTCTCTGATGGCTCTGAGAGGTGAATGCGGAATGTTTATTAGTGGCAGTGATCATAATCTTGCAACACCCAGCTTAGCTGCTGACCCTATGCTCCTGTAGCAATCCACTCAGACTCTAACGCATGGTTAGGAGGCTCTGCTCATGGTCTGCTCCTGTGTCTGTCGACATGCCTAGTTGTGAGTTCCGGAGTTCCACATAGCATCTCCTTGTGTGAATTTATGGAGGCCCAAGACTTCAGCTAGGAGAAGAACTCCAAGGCTCAGGGGCATCATGGTAAAGCCAAGTCCCAGGGTGTTGCCCTGAAGAACCTTGGCTTGGAGAAGGAGGAGCACAGGGCTGGGAGCCAGTCCTTGGGGGAGCCATTTTCACTCTGGGTCTCTTTTCCTATGTAAAATGAGGGAAGGGAGTTATATCAGATAGTGTTTTAGATCTCTTCATGGACAGTGTGACCATCATGTATTTTGTTTCATTTACAAAATAGCTGACACTGAAAGGGGCTCCTTTCCCTTGCCCCCTTGAAACTGATCCATGGGATGTCCCCTTTTTATGAGATCACGGGTCCAAATGTTTATTTTTCCAAACCTCTTTGCTGTTGGCAGGTAAAAGTGACTCAGTTTCAGCGCTGTAGACAGCACATGTTTTCCTTCAACAGGAAACCTGGAGGGGTGTTTTCTTTGACTCTGATTAAAGCTCCCATTGCCTCAGGAGGTTAATAGAGACATACACACAGATGGTCTAGTTATTCTGACACTAAAACTCACAATAGCATCTTCCCTGCCCTGATGTGACAGATAAAAGTCGCAAGGTCAACCCTCTCTCTTCTATAGCTCGGTCTTTCTCTAGCAACAGATGTATTCAAGACTTCTGGGAAGAAAATCTTGTAAAAAAAATTCTTTTTTAAAAGAAAGTGGAGTATGGGAGCTGATGTAATAAATCCATTTGAAGAGCTAAATCACCATCTTCCTAAACTTGGTAATTTTGCAACTTTGAATTCTTGTGTTCTGAGCATAGCTCTCGGGGAGAGAAGCCAACTCGGAGTAGATATAATACATGACCCATGAAAATAATCAATTAGGTGACAGTGTTGAAACTCTGACAACTAGAATATTCTATCCAGGTCTGGCTGCCATTTATCTCCATCATGCCTAGGAGAGAGCCTGACACCTACTAAACACTCAATAAATGTTTACTAAATAAGTAAAGAGAGAGAGTGTTCATAAAATAATCTTAATTGAAAAAATTAGAACAAAATCACAGGTACATTATGATTGCAACTAGGTAATAAGTATATCTATGCAGATATTAGAAGGGCACATGAATGCAGCTTGTGGGAGAAATGCCATTTCTTTTTTCTTTGAAAAATTGAATAATGTTCTAAAGTTAGTAACAAAAATTTTAGTAATACAAATTCTAAAAGTCAAGAGATTATCTTTATTTATAAAGCAACAGAAACCCAGGCAGGAGTATGGTATGGGAAGAGGAACATAGGCTCTAGTTAGAATTCTAGTCTTGTGACTTCAAGTATCTTTTGAGCAAATTAAACTCAGGTTCCTCAACTGGAAAAAGAGGGTAGATGACAGATGCTCTGCTCATGGGGTTATTATAAGACTTAAATTGGGTATAAAGGTATGGTCTCTGATTATGACAGGCTTCTTGTTTCTGGTGGGTTTGTTACAAGTTGGGGTCAGCCTTGAACTTCAACACACTGTTGCTGGATGCTGAACCTTCAACAACAAAGAATCCCAATAAATCTGCTAGAGCTAACCAACACCTATGTCCTCAGTGCTCTGGGAAGGGATCAGGTCTACAGACGTACTGTGACTTACCTGGCTCATCAGTTGTACCAGGATCAGGGTCCTGGCTTCTCAGTCCAGTCCTTTTCCCATGCCCCTTGCCCTCCCTCTTCTCATCCCACCTCCATGATTTCCCAGCTCTTAAGCAAGGTCGGCCGGGTGCTCCCTTCTTTGATGGTATCTGTGGATAAAACCTGATGAAGCATTGTTCTTTCCAGGAGCTACAGTGCTCATTCATGTTTAGAAATGGGAATGTGATTTCTAGAGAAGCAAAGTCTCTCTCTGAAGAGAGATCACTGAAGAAAGAATATGCGTTACCTTTTTTTTTTTTGACAATATGAATCAAGAATCTAAAAAGTGACAATTTTATTTGCCTCAACATTTTGTTTCTAGAAATTTATCCTAAGAGAAAAGAATCACCGATGGGGACAAAGACTGACATGAAAAAAAATGGGTATCAGCACAACTTATCTCTGCAGAAAATCTAGGAATTAAGTAAATATTCAACTGTGGGGGGATTTCTTACATAAAGATATATAAGTCAGCTTTTCAAGTGACATTGTGGAATAGTGGTTAATGACCTGAGAGAAAATCTTTCATGCTTTAAGCTTCAAAAGGGAAGATACAAAAACTGTACCTGCAATATAACCCCAAATTTGGTTTTATAAGTGCTTTTAGGGGGAAAAAAAAGACTGGAAGGAAATATACCAAAAATCTAAAAAATGATTAGCACTAATCATATGACTCATATTTCATTTTCTAATGCTTTTCTGTATTTTAATTTTAATTATTAATTAATATAACTTATTCATAGTACTGGGAATTGCACAGGCTAGGGGAATGTTCTACCATTAAGCCACCCTGCCTCAGCCCTTTGTAGTTTTTAAATTTTGAGTCAGGGTCTTGCTAAGTGCCCAGGGTCCTCCTGACTTAGGATCTTCCTGACTCAACACACTGTTGCTGGGTCCTGAGTAGCTGCAATTATAAGTGTGCATCACCCCATCCCACCGGATTTTAATTTTAAAAGGTGAATATACACCAGTCTCAGACTTGGTAATAAATGTCTCTGATGAGGAATTTTTGGGTGCCTTTTTCATGTTTTATGACACAGACATAGGGCTGAGAATCATAGACATGTACAAATACCATGTCTTACTGTGCCCCGAGCAGACAAATGCTTGGTGGGGTTTGAGTTCCTTCAATCCCAAACCAGCTGGCATCCTGTGGGTAAACCTCACTCTCAGCTTGGCTCAGTATCTTTCACTGGTTTGCTTGCAGAACACTCATTTGCCTGGTTCAGGCATTTCAACCCTTGGAGATGGTGCTTTCAATTTTAATCCTTCTCCTGAGGCAGCTTAATTTGAAAGTGCTGAAAACCACACCTACTTTCAACTCCATGGGCTGCTCTCTCAACCGGTAGGTTAGAGAGTGGCCTCATGGGGAATACAAAGGGTAGAATCATGGAGGTAAGGGATGAAAGAAAACCCAAGCAGAGCACAGAAGTCTTCACAGAGGTAGAGGAAGGAGCAAAGGGACCCAGAAGTGGAAGAGGGCTGAGAGAAGTGGAGTGGGTAACTAGGGAGAAGGAAGTTCCTCTACTCCACAACTGTGTAGGGAGAGGGCCCTGGTCAAGGGAGGGGGTGTGAAAGAAATGGCCCATTGCTATGTAGATAGAATCACCCTGCAAAGGCACCTCCCACATCCACCTTCTGTGCCCTTCTGGCCCCCAAGCTCCTGGCCCTGACAGCCTGTTACCTCGTTGTTGGTGCCGACGTCCAGCAGGACTGGGAGGCACTGCTGTGGGTTCACCCCTCCACACGCGGTGTACAGGGCCAGCTTGCCCACAGGGATGCCCATGCCGTAGCAGCCCAGGTCTCCCAAGCCCAGTATGCGTTCTCCATCAGTCACTACCACAGCCTGAAAAACACAGCAGGTGCCATCAATCAGGGCCAGAGCCTCCTGTGACAAAATGCTCATTTCCATGCCCCAGCATGTCAGGCTTGACAACTGCATGCCTGCTGACTTTGCAGGGGCTGAAACTGCTTGTCTGGAATAAGGCCTCATTCAACTGCAGGTGGCTGTTCCTTTCTGTCAGGCTGATGAGAAATCCCACTGAAGCGAAATGACAGAAAGACACCTGCCCTGCATTCTGAGGTTTGGGGTGGGGGCTTCAGAAACAGCTGGAGGGAAACCACATCTAGTCACTCTCCCTCAAAGAAACTAAACAGATGCTCTCAGCCTGAGACTTGGTGGGGGAGGGCGAGAAAGGGAGGGAAGGACATAAGGAAAGGAGAAAATGAAAAACAAGTGTTCAGCTGCGGCTGCAGTTCTGGGTTTAGAGGCCAATGTGAGTGCTCCCTGGCCTGCTCCTGGGCTCTGATAAATCCGACTTGCAAAGAACAGAGCTCCTTGTTATGTCTCCTAGGATCACTGTTTCACATGAAACCAGGAAGATATGGAGCTGTATTGGGATTACCTTTTGTGTTTTGCAAACACATGGACCTGGGGGACGTCCATGTATTAGTGCAGGTTCAAGGTTTCATACTGTAAATTAACAAATGAGGATGAAACTGATAGTGATGATAAATATTATTATATGATTAGAATGAATGTTCTTTTGTTTGTTCACTTAACACATATTTATGAAACATGTACTTTGCCTAAGATACTGTGCCATGTTCTGGGGGAAGGAGCTTCAGTTTGCTCATCTACAAAAACAAGTATGTATGAACTCAGCCTTTAAAGAATTATAGTGCTGAAAGAGAGATGGAATGTGGATGTTAACAATGATGACTTTGGGGGGGAGTCCTGAGTGCACCAGACCAGCACAAAGGGCTGCAGAGTTTAAGAGATGGGAGATTTAACCCTCATAAGTAAGGATTTTGTGGGTGAGGGAGCACATATACCAGATCTTGGACAAGGGGGGATTGTGAGGATGCAGGTCAGGGGTGATCAGTTAATGCAAAGCAAGTTAAGACATAGAATAGACATGTTTATAACAATGCAATTCACAATAGCCAAGTTACAGAACCAGCCTAGATGCCCATCGACAGGCAATCAGATAGAGAAAATGGAATTTTCTATTTATAAACAATGGAATTTTATTCAGCTATAAGGAATGAAATTATGGCATTTTCTGATAAATTGATGGAGCCGGAGAACATCATGCTGAGTGAAATAAGCCAGAGTCAGTGAAGTGTTGAATATTTCCCCTCATATATGGAAACTAGAGAGTGGGGGGAAGGAATAAAAAGGAGTAATCTCACAGAAATAGAAAGGAGACCAATAGAGTGGAGGAAGGAGATTGAAAGAAGCAGAGGAAGGGAGGGCATAAGGAAATACTGGGGAATAAAATATGCCAGATTATGCTAGGTTCATGTACAAATATACCACATTGAATCCCACATATATGTGTGTGCATATATACACATATACATATATATAAATGATAATGCACTAATTAAAATGATAATAATAACAACAATAATAATAGAGGAGAGATGAGACTAGAGTAAATGGATTGGGGGAGGGGGGGAAGGGAAGTACTGGGGAAGGAGACTGAGCAAATTGTTATGTACATGTACAAATATGGTATAATGAATCCCACTATTATGTAAAATTATAACGCACCAATAAGAATAAAAAGAGACAGGGTAGAGGTGGGGGATGTAATATGTAGGGGGAAGAACTAAGAGGTATAGCTTACATGAAAGGAAACAATGGAAAGTCAGGCAGAAATCAGACAGTGAAATCAGGCCAACAACAACCTATCAGAGTGTCAGTGAAATTGTTTATAGATTAGCTTACTATCTCTCCACTGGAACCTGGCTTTGGGCCACAACGTAGGACCAGCTTCAAGCTATGAATATCCTGGTTGGTCCCAAGCATGGTACCCACAGGGTTTAGATTAATCTATGGAGTGGCAATGTTGAGTGCACCAGGAATAAGGAAATGAAGATCCATTCTTGACCTGAAATAGTTTATGATCCAGTACCCAAAGGGTCCATGGTATCTTCTCACCTTGGTTCTCTCTCTCCAGGGGTGAGAGTGCATAAGGGCTGGTGCTGCCTTTTGGTAGAATTGTAGCAATATCAAAAAACACTTTTCTACTTCTGGAAAGAGGGTTATGGAGAGTGCAACAGACCCATGGAAATCATGATGTCCCCTCTTACATTGGTCCGTGACCTCTGTGGACAGTTTTCACAGCCCACACCCTATCTGACCCTCCCAATGGCTTGGGCAGGTAGAAATGTCTGAGACTGTTAACTGTTTTACAGGTGAGCAAACTGAAGCTCAAGAGCTTAGTGTTCTACTCATATTTGTTAGGTATCAGTCATGTGCCAGGCACTGGGCTGGATGTTTTCACATTGGTTATCTCACCAAGGTCATCTTGCTTGTATATGTGGCAGGGCAAACTTCTAATCAGGCTTTGGTTCCTGGTTCAGGGCTCCATCTACTGCCCCCTTCCACTGGGTGAAAGCACCTGTGTTCTTGGTAAAGTCATATCCCGCCTCAGTATCACCCTCTCCGTAGCCCACCTCTGACCTCATCTTGGCAGCTCTCCTGGCAGGAGCTTGTGTCCTTATACTGCCTCTGAGGGCTGGAACTCTGAGCATTTGTCTACCATCTCTCCTCATCAAAGCTTCCTTATTTTGGTTCTCTCAGAATCTTTCTATCTGCTGAGGGGACAGTGAGTGACATGAAATTAAACTGAGGACCTCAGGTACTCCAGGACATTGTCCCTACAACCCTAGGATGGTGAAGTGCCTTCCCACCCTGGAAGTGTCCAAGGGCATTCTGCTGCATCCCCTCTGAGGGGATGCCTCACCTCTACCTGTTGTCCATCCTCAATCTTATGGTGGAATGGTTGGTTTGTTGCAATAGCTTCACAGACTGCTTGCCCCTCGTACTTTCTTCCTTCTAATCTCTCCTTGCCAACCAATGTCAGATTCAGTGTACCAAAAACTATCATTGCGGCATTTCCAGACTCAGAGACCTTTAGTGTCTTCTATCTATAGCATAAAGTAAAAAAAACATCTAACTCTTTAATGACCTGCACCCAACATATCTTCTGAAACTTATCTCTGTATATACAGCTGAATATAGTTGCATCTTCTGGCCAGTGGTTTCCTCAGTCTCCCCAGACTCTCCCCAGATGCACCTACCATGTATCCCTCTTGACTTCTATATTTCTCCTTCCTGGAAGGTCCTTCTCCCCATTTTCCAAAAGCACAAACCCTCCATTAAAATATAATGCATTTTCTTTTTCCCCTGAACAGTTAACACTTGTTATATCCATTACACACTTCTGTCACCTGCCTGCCTTCCACAAATATTTATTAATTACCTACTGGATGGCAAGATCTGCACAAGGTGCTACTTAAACATTGGATGGTTATAACATTTCAGTTCTTATTTGCTAAGTTTTGGATGGGGTTTGTCTCCCAAGGGTTCCTGTGTTGGAGGATTGATCTCCAGTGTGGCAATGTAGAAGGGGTGGAATCTTTAAAGGTGGGGTCTAGTGGGAAGTTCTTGGGTCACTGGGGATACTCTCCTCTGAGGAGATTGAAGTAGTTCTTTTGGGATCTCAGTGTTTATAAGAGTGAATTATAAAAAAAACTAAGGCTGGTCCCTCTACACTCTCTGTGACTTCCTGTTTCTTCATGTGATTCCCTCCCTTCCACACATGATCCTATTATTGTAAGGCCATCTGTCATGGGGTCCTCACCAAGCTGAGCTGATGCCAGAACCATGCCCTTAAATGTCCCAAACTAAAAGAGATGAATAAACCTATTTTCTTTATACATAACTCAGCCTCAGGTGGGTTCCATTGGGAAATGGAGTAATACATCATTTTAACATTTTTTAGAATGCGTATTTTTATCTTACTAAATAGTCTAAAGGTTACAGAAGGGGCTTTGGAGTTGAATATTTGAATCTAGGCTCTTTGATAATGTGCCATATGTAACCTTGAGTAAATAGATAACTTTTCTTAGCTTTAATTTTCCACAAAATGGGTAAAATAATAATACCTAACTTTTCATATTGTTATAAAGATGAAATGAAATAGAACATGTCTCATTTAAACCTGGTGCCTTGAATAAAATAAAGGTGACCAGCAAATGGTCACTGCTCTTGTGGTAATAATGATGATTATCATTTGGAGCAAAGATTATACATTAGGTTTTCAAAATTGTTTTTCAATCTCTGAAGTTCAGAATTACCACAGAAAAAACATGTAATAATGATCTATCAAGTGAGTGAATTTAAGAGAAACTAAGGGCAGGGGGACTGTGGTAAATGCAACTTTTAAGAAAGTCTGGCTATGTGGGTTTAACAGCATTTGAAACTTGACATCTGCATCTATCCCAAAGGCTTCTGCTGTTGTTTCTTAAGTATATGATGCTTGTAGCTAACTGCTAGGCACTGCCCCTTGGATGTGCAATGTTCTTCTCAAATTCCACAAACAAATTCCAAAACAAAGTGCCTAGCAAACAAATTCTCTTTTCCTTCTTACTCCTTCTGCCTTTTTTACTCTGCTGTCTTCCCTCTTGTTTCCCCACATATCTCAAGTTCTAAACAATCTACGCTTTGATTCTTCTCTGTCATTAGTCAACCATGGCCATTTGTCAACCATGTTCTGCTGATTTCACCTGCTTCATATTTATGACATCTGTTTCATAGTCTTCATACCAGGGCTTCTTCCGTGGACCTGCTGTCCACCTCTCAGTTGTCTACACAATTGGTCTTCTAGCTCTTCTCTCCATTCTTGTACCTGCCCCATTTCATTAAATTTTTTTCCAAAGCACATCTATATGTACCACATTCTTGCCCCAAATATCCAGTTGTTCCATTCCTATAAAAAAAACCCTTAAACCTCTTAGACTGACATTTAGATTTTATGTAAGCCCAATTTA